AAGGTCCCTGCAACCCACCCCATCTCCCTGCTGCAGCATTGGGGGTTGACGGTTGGATCTTTTCCATCAGCCCCCTAAAAAGGATGGGGATGATGTGCCAGCAGGGTTGACAAGGCTCACGTCTGGTCTGTGGGAGCTCCTCAGCCAGAGCCAGCGTGAGCTGGGATCACGCAGCCGCTCTGCACATCCAGCACTACCCACGCCAGGCTGGGCATGGAAAGAGAAATCCTCTTGATTTGCAGGGCACATCTGTGACTGGAGCACAGGGATCCCAATTTAGTCGCAGGCTTTTGAAGTAGATTGGCTTCATCCTTTCTCATTCTTGCTGCTGTCACCCACAGTGCCTGGGTCAAGATGTACAGCCTTATTACCAGCTCTGTCACTGCAAAATCCTTCTTTGCCTGTAAGAGGGAAGAAAAAAAATCAAATGGTTTTAAATGTAGCATGTTTCAGGTTATTTTTATTTGCCTTTTAATTTTAAGCTTTCCAGGTTTGGTTGGTCCAGGTTTCCTCTGTAATCAAAAGGGTGAGGAGCTTCCTTTGCTCCGGAGCCATGAAAGACCCAAACCTCCCACGCTGGCACCTGGCTCTGGGGCACGGACTGCAGCCACCGGAGCCTTGGGGACACGGCGAGAGCTGCTGGTGTCGAGGGCCCCTCTGTGAATTACAGGTTAAAAACAAGAAGCTGCTTCCTTTTGGGGAAACATCTGTTGTGTGTGCTGCTGAAAAAACCACCCTTGAAAAGAGCCCAGTGCATTGCTCCTCCTCCTCCTTTCCTGCCGTGCTCCCTTCCCCGGTCTCAATCCCGATGCCTTCCCCTCGTGTGTGTTGGGGGGCTGCGGTGGATGCCCGCTGGCCCGAGGCTGTATCAAAGGAGACATTGTTTGTGGGAGCGTGGGAGGAAGCTCAGCACTGTGGCCCTGCCTCGGCCAACAGCAGCCCGATGGGTTGTGGGAGTGGTGGCGGTGTCCCCCTGGAGCCCAGCCAGGCTGCACCCCCAGAACAGCAGGCTCCAAATGTGCCAGCAGGCGGCGAGATTGATTTTCCAAGGAAACGGTGGTCCCTTTGTGTGGTTGATGCAGGAGGGAGGCTGCCCCTTGCCTTGGGCATCTGGGGTCCTGCTTTTCTAGATGGGGGACCCTCATGGGTGTCCCAGCACCACAGGTCCCAACTATTTGGAAGTTCCCCCCTAGCTCCCAGCAGCATCTTCTGCTGAGCATGGTGTGGGGCTGCTGTTGTGCGTAAATTGTTAGCCAGGTTTTCCTGTGTCTCCGCAGGGGAAACTCCAACTGCCTTTTGTTCTTTCCAGAGGAGATGGCTCAGCCCTCCTGCCTCACCACAGCCTGGCTCCATGCACCCCAGTCCCTTGAATTTGAGGGTTCCAAAGCCCCACTCTGTGCACCCCAACAACTCTGGCTCGGTGTGCTCTGGTTCCCTGGTTCTGTGCACCCCAATGCCCTGGGTCAGTGTGTACCCCAGTTCCATGCACCCCAAAGCCCAGGCTGTGTACACCCTAATCCCCTGGTTCCATATGCTCTGGTTCCCCAGTTCTGTGCACTCCAGTGGCCAGGCCCAGTGTGCACCCCAGTCCCCCACCTATGTGCACCACAATCCCCTGGCTTGGTGATCCCTGACTCCATGCATCCCAATCCCCAGGCCCTGCGCTCCACAATCCCCCAGCTCTGTGCACCCTGCCCCGCCTCAGTGCTCCCCAATCTCCCAGCCCTGTGCATCCCAGCCCTCTGGCTCGGTGCTTCCCAATCACTTGGCCTGATGCACCCCAATATTCCTGGCTCAGTGTTCCCCAACACCACCAGCTCCATGCAGCCCAGTGCCCCAGCTCTGTGCTCCCCAATCCCCCAGGTAGGTGCACCCCATTGCCTCAGCCCCATGCACCCTAATTCCCCAGTTCAGTCCACCCCAATATCCCTGGCTTGGTGCTCTCCAACCTTCCCAGCT